TCCTAACAGATAAGAACCATATCCGAACCTAAATAAAATTTCACCTGAGAAGGTCTCAGAAGTACCCTCCCTGTTACTAAAACACACACACACACACACACACACACACAACCCAAAGTGCAAAAGCAAATGGTCATCGACCTAAGGAGCAAACGACGACAAAAATCAGCCCAGAGACAAATCTAGGAGAGAAAATGCCTTTCCCTCCGCCACCTGACTCGAGGAGGGGTTCACAAGTGCTCGCTGGAATGCATCACTTTGACCATGGCACAAAAAGAGGCGCCTCTTATAAAATGTACGTTTTCCTAACAAAAGTATTGGAGGCAACCTCCCTCTACGTGGCATGGCGCGTTTTCTGAAAATCAATCAAGTCCTCTCATTCAGTGGGAGCCCAACCGCATTGTCTGTCCCTTCCTCCAGAAGCCGATTTCTGCCAGGTAGAAAATTAAGTTTCCTTTTACTGTTCTTCAGACACAATGCTTTGGCCGTTGCAGAACTGTTGTTCTGTGTGGGAAACCAACTTCCTGTCTCAATAAACAAGCACACACAGGCTTTTCTGGACACATAATGGAGCCTTTTTTATTTTATACAAAAATCATTCCACACTTAACACATCAATGAAGCCACTTAAGCTCTACTGCATCTGAATTAAAGAGGAATTGTGTGATCAAAGGGTGTGAAAAGAACCACACACGGTGTTCTTCAGACCCTCTTCTTTTGTTACATTTGATACATAACAAACCCCATAAATATGCTTATCCCAGGAGCTAGTTTCATTATCTTATACCCTTAAGCCTGGTGAAAGTATTCCTGTATCACCCTTCATTCCACAGTGTCCATTTTATACTGGCAATTTCGGTGAAGACATGAAAAATGTTGGCATTCTGAGGGCCCTGGGTAAAAAAATGGGGCAAGGAGGTTGTTTCTGTTGCCCGGAATAGAAATGTGTATTTACACGTATATACATGTATATAAATGTATATGCGTGCATCTATGCACACTTATTCTCACTAAAGATGAAATATACATATAAATATATGATATGTATGTCACTGAGCACGGCGTGCACACACGCACACACACACACACACGCACACACGCGCGCCCTCACACACTCCAAACGGTAACATGAGAAATTGTCATCTTACTAAATCATGAAATATAAAGCAAAAAAGACATGATGAAATTTCTTTAATGCCCAGAATCGAATAGGTGAATAGGACATTCTATAATCTTTATAGCTTTTCATGCTACCAGCATAGCTTCTGTGAAGGTTACTAGGTAGTTAACATTCACTGTATTTTTTTGGTATCGTGTGTTCTAGGGAGATGGAAAAATTCCAAAAGAGAGTTCAGGCCTCCTCATGAGCCATGTATCACAGCCACACACATACTGAAGTGCATTTTGTGAATAATAATTCATGTATGACAAAATGTTTCTTCCATGCAGTTGCATAAAAAAATGAAATGCAAAATTTACAGTCAATGAATTAAAGTTGGTTGAACATGTTATTATTTAAATTCATGTAATCAAATCAATATCGGGTTGAAATATATTCCTTGAGCTATCATCTATATAGCCGGAGTGAATTGTTGAACGAGGATTCAAAATTATGCAGATACAAGTTCTCTCATTGAGGAAAGAGTTTAAATTGGAATAGACTCATTCAAATATCATCTGTGGAGTGCCAATGATAAGTCAGCCACCATTGCAGGCACAAGGGAGTCAAAGATGAAAAAGACATGCCTCTCCCTGTGTTCATTGTCCAACAAGAAAGAGAGATGTGTGGACAGATGATGGCAACGGTAAGTGTGTTAGCACCTCTTGTGAGGTGCCCTCCTAGTGGAGGAAACAACTAGTTCAGTATGGGAAATCAGCAAAGGCTCCTTCGCCGAAGGAGTTAATACTTGAGTGTGGTCCTAACGATGGAGGGGAGTATAGAGTTTATCAGACAGAGGAACTGGAAGAAAAACATATCAGGGAGAAGGCACATGAGCAAAGACAGGTTGAAATCATGAAAAAACGTAAGCACTTTCGTGATTTCCTTCTTTAAGCATAAGTGCTTTTAAATTGGTGCATAGTTTTTGTGTAGTTGGACTGTAGAATCCATTGAGCAAAAAAAAAAAAAAAAAAAAAAAAGCAGCAGTTGAAGCTGAGAGGGTAAGCTGAGATCATAAAACAAAGTGACTCGGATGCCCTGTTAGGGCATTTGAACTAGACCCTTGTAGGCAGGGTAGAACCAAGTAGGGTCTTAACAGACTGAATTACCTGAGTTGGATTTGGAATTTGTCCCAGTGAGATGTCTATACTGACCAACCACTGAATAATTACTCAGATCTGGCCATCCATATGTCTCTAAATAATATAGTCAGTTGCAATTTGTTTTCCTAGCATTTAGTTGCTTGGTGTTGCATATGTCCCAGCTATGCAGAGGATGGGCCGAAAGGTTTGGTCCGTAGCCGGATATTTCCAGTGTTGTGTGGGCCATCTCAAACATTGAAAGAGAAAATGTTCCATGAGGGTGAAAGTCCCTTTACCATGCTTCCCAAATAAATCATCATTGATGGTATCACTAATAAGCCGTTCAGCTCTGTTTAAACACAGTTATTAAGATCAGATGCCCATCTGTTTTCTGCTACAGTTTATGTCATGCAAACCTTTGCCATGGAACCTATGGACTGTTCTCTGTTGCATAGACAAATAAAGCTCAATAAATACCCATAAAAATAACAGCACATTGATATAGTTGTGCATTCTCTTCTTGATTAATTCTGTATGTGTATATACCCAAGGGCCCGTATACCCTATTTCTACCCAATGTGGCTTTCTGTTTGGAAAAATAAACCAATAAGGCTTTTTTTTGTTCCTTCACGATTTCTACCCTGAATTTCCTGTCATCTTCCACTTACACTCACATAAAACAGTGATGTTTCGTGTTGCTTTTGAATGACATACAGTCTTCTTCTTCCTTATTTTCATGTGGGGTTTGTTTGTCTCTGAAATGCATGGCCTGCACTTGACGTTAGGATTTAAATGTGGTCGCAGGCAGGATCTTTCACTCACCAGTCTGTAAGGATTTGAAAATATTGAGAAGGGAATTTACCAGTAAAGAAATGCCTACAAACATGCTTCTTGGATGTGATAGGCACAGAAGTATCACCTGTGTTGACTACAGAAGGAGAAATCTCATGAAATAAGATGTATCTACTGTTCACTTTAAAGATACTATCACTTCGTCATGGATTTTTCAAGGTCTGAGCACAAAGAGGCCCATACATTTATCCTAATTGATGCACTTAAGGGATCTAGTGACAGAGAGGAGGATTTTCAGAGGGAAAACAACCACGTAAGTGAAAAAGATTTGAAGGTGCCTCACATAAGGGAAAGTGGAAGGATCTGAGAAGCTTTCATCTGGAGAAAAGAAGAATCTAGAAGACCTCAACAACCAGGTCCTAAAACTCACAGAACTATGTGGGTGAAAGGATTCAATTCACTGTGTATAACCTCAAAAAGGAACCATGGGTGGAAGAGATACCAAGGTGGACATTGATTCAATATGGGGAGAAATCTTGTAACATTGAGAGTCATATGTGTGATGGGCCAGCTGAGGAGAAGGGCTTGTGTGAGTCCAGAGGGATTCAAGCCCAGGTCAGAGTATCATGAAGCAGGCATGGGGTGATACAAGAATTAGGTGGGTTCTTAGATTTCTAGAGTCCTTGTAATTCTAACTGATCTGAGTCTACCGATTTACCTGTGGTTCAGCCCAAAATTATGAAGTGCAACGCTTTCTGTCCTCAGCATGAGTCGATGACCTCTGTTGCTCCTGACTTAGCCCTGTGATTCAGACCTCAGTTCTGGACATCACATTTATTTCGAAGTGTTAGCGTTATCCCATAGCCTGGGATTTTGTTTTGTTTCCGTCGGAGCTAGTGATCTGACACCGACTTCTGACGGATGCTTTCATCTGAAGATTTGATGTTAGTATACTTGGTCTTGAACTCCACCGCACAAAGAAGCAAAAAGAAAGATCTCAGCCCTTTCTTGTACAAAGGGATTTCAAGGCATTAAAAGTTGGCTATGGGGTTTTCACATAGGTAATAAGTACAATTCATGATTTGAATGGATCCATTCTTGCCACTTTCCAAGATGATCATGATTTTAGTTGAATGTTTTTCTTTCCAAAGGCCTTTGACCGTTTTTACACATTTTAGCCTCGTGCCATAAATCTGAAACCAATTAAGAGTGAACAGCAAATTGGGAAAAGCTTAGAAGTTCTGATGTTGATCACTAATCTCTTGGGAAATTCAATTAGCCAGTGACCTATTTCATCTACAGAACTATTACTCCCCTGATCCCCCCCACCGCCCCACCCCAGATTATTAACCTGTACTGGGAGAAAGTTTCAGGGCCAACTGACAAGACTCTGACTTTAATAGGCTTGGAATTTCCCTATAAGTACCCAAATTTTTAGACGTGAGTTATCTCCCAAAAAACAAACTTTCTTGTCAAGAAAAGGAAGCTTAAACAGGCATCGAGCACACTCTTGCAGCTAAGCGTTTTGATGAATGAAAGGTAAATGAATCAGAGGCATAAGAATTACATTACTTTCTATGCACTTACATGTTCCAACACGAAGGAGTAACAAGTTGGAAGCTTTGTTCTTGATTCTTGAAAGCCGAACTTATCTGAACATGCCATTTGAGCCCACTTGAAGCTTAACGTGCCCTTATTTCTAATGCAGACTGCGGCCTTTTGTGGCTTTTCATTACTGAAATATTTCCAGGTTTCCAGAAAACTCATATTCACACTGGTGTTGATGGGAATGTATACGATGACCTCTGACCATACTTTTGAGGCCAGCAACCTATCATTCTTTTTCACTTTAGGTGAGTCATGCGGAGTCCATATAACAAGTCTGCTAAGGCCATATCCTTACTCTATAGAGAGGGGGATTATTACGTATTAGCGAAAGAAAAAGAAATCGAGGAAGACGTTCTTACATTTTGGTGAGTTACAGGCATTTCTTGAAGGCCCAGTGTGTGCCAGGCACTTAAGATACAAAGCAACGGGGCCCACTCTAAAGGAGCTCTTGGTCCGGTGAGGAAGGCAGACAAGGAAGCAGGTCACACAGTACGAGGTACTATTACAGGAGTGCTTCCAGGGTACCGTGGAAACACAGAGGAGGGGAATCCTCCAGGACGGCTGGAGAGTATTCCCAGACGCACTGAAGCTCAGGCCAGATGGAGGGATAAGAAGTAAGACGGCACTGCAGAGTGCTGGAAGGGAAGGATATACAGTCAGGCAGCTCTCTACGAGCTACTGGGAGTTTGGGGAGTTGAGTATGGAGGTTACAAAGGGTTTCAGTTTCCAGTTGGGGAGTGGAAAACGCCAGGGTTGGCAAAACAGGCTGGGGCTGGATCACAAAGGGCTTTGTCTTCCAGGCTAGGAAGCACAGTTCGGAACTGGCTTTAGCTCATGTTACCAGGCTTGTCATGCCACCATTCCAGTGGAGCTTGTGCATGTTAGCACCAGGTTAACCACGTGTCCTCGTACGGTTGTGTCTTTCTTTCACTTGTGGGTTTCTCTTAAAAAAAAAAAAACAAAAAAAACAAAAAAAAAAAAAACAATTTATCCTATAGGAAATCAGGGTAGGAGAGGGAGTGGGTTGGGACTTCGTATTTAATCTTGAGCCCCAATAGAAGCATTTTGACATCTGCATCTACATTGTTTGTTCACCTTGGTTTGGTCCTTTTTGTATCCCTGGGCCTTGGTTTCCCCATCTGGCAAAGTGAGACCACCGCGATCTCTCTCTGTTGTCGGTCAAGAGAAAGCTGTTAGTTGACTACAAATGCTCTCACATTCCTCCTGAGACGAATTAGACGTCGGGAGTGGATTAGATGAACAATTCACTCCCACCATCATCTGAGGCCGTATTCGATTTGGAATTGATACATTGCCCAATCCTCAGGCCAGACTGTTGGGATTCATCACAACCTTTGATGATATTTTTTAAGAGGTAAAGAAAAGGAAACACAAGGAGTTCTCGCAGAGATGAAGAAAGCATTACGGGATAAAACAGCATTGGGAGCCTGTGGAGACACCAACCGTGTGTTTAAGGAGCGTCAGTGTAAGAGTCTGGATCACAGACAACAGAGGAAGGTGTTTAAGCGGAGTCTGGCACCATGGCTAAAAATCTTCTCTGCCACCATTTTCTTACTTCGGAAGCAATTTTAATGAATAGATGGTGGCACACATGGAACTCTTTTGGCATACCAAGTGCACTAGACATTTGTGACACCATTCTTATAACCTCTCCCAAAGGTAGCTTGCTATCATCGCCATATTCCCGCGAGAATATGAAGGTTCTCGAGGCTTGGCAACGTAGCAGAGGACCCACAGCTAGTGAGCGGCATGATGGGAATTCAAAACCAGGTCTTCCGGACTCCGCAGCTCTTTATGACTCTGCTGTACTGTCTCCACTCGTTGCCTTGGTGACTGATTTTCAAACAAGGAGACAGTTTGGGATGAGGACACAGGGACCCTGCCACATGTGAGGTTTAGTAAAAGGATCTGAGAAGCGAAGTCAGGGGTTGTGGAGGAATCGCATTTCTCGAGCCTTTTCATGGCGAGTAGAAGCTGTCCAGTAAGATGTCCTGATCATTGGGAGGCACTTGTACTATGAGCCTTAGTACAGTTTTCTACCCCTATCCAGTCACACAGGGCATTTTGTCTGTCCTTACCATGGTCCCTAAGTAGGAATCACAGGAGAACAACACCGCCTTCTGGCTTCATGATAAATCTTCCTTCCTTGTGTTTTCGGAATGGGACAGCAGAAAAAGAGGAGATGGGTTTTATTCAGTTGGCCTTTAAGAGAAAGTCCAATTATACTGCAAAAGAAGCACTTGCACAATAAAAAGGATTTTTCCCCCCATTTTATGGATTAGGAACCCAAAGAACAGTCAAGTCAGGGACTTGTTTTACTGTCTAACAAAAGCCATTATCAGGGGCACCTGGGTGGCTCAGTCACTTAAGCGTCTGACTTCGGCTCAGGTCATGATCTCAGTTCGTGGGTTCGAGCCCCATGTAGGGCTCTGTGCTGACGGCTCAGAGCGTGGAGCCTGCTTCAGATTCTGTGTCTCCCTCTCTCTCTGCCCCTCCCCTGCTCACGCTCTGTCTCTCTCCCAAAAATAAGTGAACATTTTTAAAAATTAAAAAAAAAAAGACAATCATGAGGAAGAGATAATACACATTTATAGTACTGTATTTACAAAAAAAAAAAAAAATCTAAATATAAGTGGACTCACAGTTCGAACCTGCTTTGCTTGAAGGGTCATCTGTATTGGCAACCTGAATCTGAGTGTCTTTTCCCAAGTTCATTTCTTTGCTCTTGTACTTGTCTGTCTGACAGCCAGGGCAGAGAACAGGACCCTGTCTACAAGGGTTTGGGTGAGGATCCCTTTCAGGCTCGGGGTGAGAAACCTCATGCCTTACAATGGGTTTCAACACTTCCTTGGTCAATCCTGCTACCCAACCAAGTACTTAAGTGGTTGATGTATAACCACATAATACTACCCACAACACCTTTAGACATTAAGCTCAAGTACCAGACTCTGCTAGGGCTTAGGGGGAAGGGGGAGAAAGGAGCCAGACCACAGCCTTCAGACTGCTGGGCTCCAGCAGAGAGTAGAATAGAAGGGCACTTGTGGTTCCATCACCCTCGCTCTAGACCCTCCGGCCCTTTCAGCTACTCCCGCCCTTCTCCCCTCCCGACTTCCACTCTTCTCTCATGCAGGACTGCAAATTCTCCCCTTCCCGCCATGCCTCAGCAAATCAAGTCCTCTCTCCTTTATCCTTCAAAAAACCAAAGCACAAGAAATAAAGTAAGACACGTGACACATTCATGGTGAATGTGTGCTTCAGTTTTTTGGTTTTGGTTTGTTTTTTGTTTTTTGTTTGTTTTGTTTTTTTGAGAGAGAGAGAGAGAGAGGGTGCAAGTGAGTGAGGGGCAGAGAGACAGAGGCTTACCCGAAGCAGGGCTCATGTTCACCTGCAGCGAGACTCGAACTCAGGAACCGCGAGATCATGACCTGAGTCGAAGTCATGCTTAATGACTGAGCCACCCAGGTGCCCCCATAGGCTTCAGTTCTGACTCTTCCACACCGACATGAATTGGCCTCAGGTTCTTAAAAACAGCTGGTTGACTTACCCCCATTCATCTTAATACTATGGAAACAGTGTCCAGCCCCGGGAGTTGCTTCTGGTTGCAGGCAGTGGGGTGGGGTGAGAGGAGGCGGGGCGGGGCAGTGGGATCTTCCACCACCACCATAATGGGCAGTGCTGGCCACCAGGAGGCCCATCAGTCACAGGTGGCAAGAGGGGGTGGCCAAGGGCACAGCAGCAGCAAGAGCAGGTGTGGGAGAGGGGCCAAGTTCATTAGAGTTCTTCCCAGAGCAGGAAGGCGATGGAGAGGGAAGACAGACTCTGGGGCGACTCAGCTTTGCTGCTTATACTGGGCTGAGGCTTAACGGGGAACTGTGGGATGGTCAGACCTGGGAGGTTTTAAAGCTGAGCTGTCTGAACGGGTGGCCTCCAGACTATGTGCTATTGAGCCCTTGAAATGTGGCTGGTGAAACCCAGAAACTGAATTCTAAATTGGATATATATTTGATTGATTTAAATATAAATTTTATTTTATTGATTTAAAAAAATTTTTAACGTTTATTTATTTTTGAGAGAGGGACAGCGGGGGGGTGAGGGGCAGAGAGAGAGGGAGACACAGAATCCCAAGCAGGCTCCAGGCTCTGAGCTGTCAGCACAGAGCTCGATTCGGGGCTCAAACTCACGAGCTGCTAGGATCACGACCTGAGCCGGAGTCAGATGCTTAACCCACTGAGCCACCCAGATGCCCCTAAATATAAACCTTAAAACAAATACTTTGCTTATGTGTTGGAAAATTTCTAAGTATGTTTGGAACAACTTGGATATGTGAATCTACTTTTTCAACTGTAAATTTTATGAAATCTAAATATAAATTAACTATTTTTGATGAAAATATAGTGCCCAAATTAAGATGTGCTGGTAGGTGTAAGGCGAATGCTGGGTTTTGAAGACTTAATACAAAAACAGAGAATATACACTATTTCATTAACATTTTCATATTGATTACATACTTTGAATATATTGGGTTATAATATACTAAATGTATATATGTATATATAATATACTAAATATATATAATATATAATATACTATATATAATATACTAAATGTATAATATACTAAAATGTACTATTAAAGTTTTTTTTTTAAACAACAGATTCCAAGGTTCCTGGGTGGCTGGCTCGGTTGAATATCTGACTCTTGATTTTGGCTTAGGTCATGATTCTAGGGTCGTGGGATCAAGCCCTGTGTCAGCCTCCACGCTGAGACTAGAGCCTGCTTGAGAGTCTCTCTTCCTCTCTCTCTCTGTCCCTCTTCCACTCGTTCTCTCTCTCTCTCTCTCTCTCAAAAAAAAAAACAAAAAACTGTTTCCATTCTGTTGGAGTTAAGGTACATTGATCCAATGGATGGCCCTCTTATACTAAACAATTCTTTTTAATGTCTACCTTTGCATTCATTCACCCATCAAGCTTTCTAGAAAACAATATTGTATAAATAGTATTACAATAACAGCTTGTGACATAAGAAGACATGGTTTAAAGGAGCATATATTCTGGTTTATTCAATGTCTATGTGTTACTTAAAACTATGCATTACATCATCTGACTAAGCTGTTTCCTCATCTATACAATGAAGTTGAAACTTAATACCAATCTTAAAGAGCGTTCATGAGGATTAAACGAGGGAACAAAAGTTAATTGCCTAGCATGAAGCCTGATATTTCGGTTCTCAATGAATATTGGCTGTACCTGAATCAGCCCCTTTTGTCAGGGTCCCTCATTTTGGGTGACCAGTTGTTCAGATTGTCCAAACTCTCCCAGTTTTAGTACTAAAAGTCCCAGGTCTCAAGAAACCTCTCAGTCCTGGGCAGATGAGGAGAGCTGGTCACCCTACGTCATATACGAAGGATCCATGAAGACTGCCAATAGTCATTACCTCCTATATCACCATTGGAAAGCTTCTAAAGATGAAAAGATGGGAATCAGTGGAAAACTATTGTTTATAAATACTGTCTGCAAGATAGTGGGTAAATACAAAATTATGAGTGCAGCTACACCAAAGCTATTACGGGTTGAAGATTAAAGGGAAAGGAATCTGCAAAAAAAAAACAACCAAAAAAAAACCCCACACTTTGCCTTGTTCCTAGCTTCTGAGAAAATTGGAGATGTTAAAATAATATATCATTTATAGTATGTAATATTTATTTTAAAATTAATGCATACTATCAAAATATGTTGATTTTTTAAAAAATCTATAGATTTGTTAAAATATAGAGCAAAAGAAAGGAAATGTGGACTAAGCACGTCAAGTATATCTTTCTTTGTGTTTGTGAATAACTTTAGTGTGAACCTCTTATGATGCTTATTCTCACGAGGATTTTGAACAACATCTGATTAATAATCCCATGTTACTATGCTTTTTGGCCTGCTTCTTCCTTGGGTATCCAGGAGCCAACTGTAATTTCTCCGTTATTCTGAAGATGATGTCCTCTAAAGAAAGTGTCCCTTCTATTATTTTTATTTTTTCATATCTGTGTGGAACATACCTAGTGAGAGTCTCCTTGGAGCCCTATGGGTTCCTGGGAAATTCTTCCTTACACCAAACTGAAAGAAGTCTGTGCTCACTTATCCTTTTAAGACCAAAGATGGCCTCATTTACCCCTTTAAGACTAAGGTAGTATCATTCTGCCTTAACTGATTTTAAATAAAGTCCTTATGCTGGAGCTGGATGAATAACTTAACAAGTTGTCTTTTAAGCGTCTAGTCTTTTAAAAAATATAAAAACAGCATATGTTACATACAAAGTTAATTATTTAATAATTACAGGCAGACATACCTCTTCAAAATGTCTACATAATATCAAAACAATTGGTCAGATTCTGCTACTGGGCATTTACCCCAAAACAAAAAACACTAATTCAAAGAGATATATGCACCCCTATGTTTATGGCAGCAGTATTTACAATAGCCAAGATATGGAAGCAGCCCAAATGTCCACCCTTAGATGAATGGATAAAGAAGATGTGGCATGTATATGTATATGTATATGTATATGTATATGTATATAATATCGTGTATAATAATATAATAATATTCCTATATATATAATATAGGAATATATAATAATAATATAATAGTATTCCTATATATATGTGTGTATATATAGGAATAATATTATTATTGAGGCTCCAAATATCCAGGATATGTCATATCAACATGAAGGAGGCACAATTAATTTCAAAGAAAATGTCCTATATATAATAATATTCTTATATATATATGTATATATATGCATACATATACATATATACATATACATATATATATAGGAATATTATTCCACCATAAAAAAGAACGAAATCTCGCCATTTGTCGCAACATGGATAGATCTAAACGGTAGAATGTTAAGCGAAATAAGTCAATCAGAGAAAGACAAATGCCATATGATCCCATTCATATGTGAAATTTAAGCAACAAAAAGAAACGAACAAAGAAAAAAAGAGACAAACCAAAAAACAGACTCTTAACTGTAGAGAATGAGCTGAGGTTCCCAGAGGGGAGATGGGGGGCTGGGTGAAATAGTTGAAGGGAATTGAAGAGTACACTCGTCACGACGAGCACTGAGTAATGCATAGAACTGTTGAATGACTATATTACACACCTGAAACGAAGATAACACTGTATGTTA